ATTTCCTTACAGCCTGGGCTATCAACGCAGGTGGATAGGCGGCGTCCTGAAGAAGACATTTCAGTTCCCATTTCCATGATTCAAATGAGGCTTCATTCTTCGGAACCGGAATCTCTCCAGAAAAGGGTGAAATCCTTGGAAGCTGAAACTGTTGGAGCTGTGGGTTCAGAAAACCTTGATTAAAATATGGGGTACTATACATGGGTATCTCAGGTGGAGTCTGTTGAAACCTCATGTGCGTGTCTGGTTTAAATCCTTGACGCCTTGGTGTGAATTCCTCCATCTTAGGAGTGAACTTCTGATCCTGAGTAGAAGGACATAAAGGAGGAATAGGTCGAATCTGATATCGTCCTGTAGCTGATAAGTAATTGATCATCTTCCTCTCTTCCTCTTCTGAGATGACCTGAGTGTCCACATCCAAATCCTCAACCCCAGAAGCCATAATGATACCAGCTGAATACCTACACAAGTTCACACTGTTCATTCACTAACACTAGGACTAACTAGGACATGTCTAACTATGTATGGGGATATTCAGACGAAGCAGGAATATAACCAACCGCAATAGAAGCCAAGAACCAATGAGTCTGGACCACAAAAATACTATCAAAATCCAAACCAGAATAAATCCACAATGACCCGAGTATCTAAGCAACTGGGCCAAAAGGAAGAATACCAACAACCAAACACTAAAGTATATACACTAGAAAATATGCAATGCCACTACCAAGTAAAAAAACATGTAAACAAAGGAAGCGGATGTCGACCGATGTATACTGAAAATACAAAGGTGTAAAGCATATATCCAACAGTGAAAGTGGATAGTAAGGAAAAGTTATTACTAATGACGAAGGCAATGAAAATGTCAAAAGTAATAATAAAGTAAAACAACAAAGAACCTGTCAAGTTTATTGAACTAACGCGAAGTTGAAAAACCGGAAGCTAAGTAAACCGGAAATACACCTACCGGATGTTTACAAATTACATGAGTAATACGGAAGTATAAGTCCGGAATGTAAACACGCGAAAATAAGTTACAAGTGCTATGCGAAACGCGAGTGTAAGGCACGGTCGCGATCCGAAACGCGCAAAATTGTAAACAATAACACGAAATACGCGAAAACAATGTACTATGATGTTTTAGTATAAGTGCAGGTGAGATGTATTCGCGCACACTCTCAATCACTCCATGATATGAATGTATAAAACTAAGTTGAATAAAACTATCAAAAAGTTAAACACACGATGTAAAATGAGTAACTGACAAAGCCCTAAGAGACAATTAACTAAAAGACATAAGTTGTACAATGTCTTATTGTCTCTCTAAATACTATACTAAGTGTGTACAAACTATAGGCCTGTAGCTAACTAATGCTAACTTATCCTCTGCAGAGATACACTGTATTCTTACCAACTCATAGTAAACACTCAATATGTCTACTATGACGATTTATAAGAATATACAAACATGTTGTAATGTGCACATGAAACACAGCAAAATATTTCACATGAGAATATTGATATCACATGAAATATATCAAAACATAGTTCATATATATATAGAGAAAAGAGCATAAATATCAATATCAGGAAATGTTGAACATATCATAGTTTCAAAATGTCTCAAATGTCTCACATGGGAATCTCAACGTTCAATCCGTGGAAATCATGCATGATTGATGAATCATGAATATGTGAAATGTCATAATATAAGGCACAAATAGTATCACAGCCGAAATAACACATGTCCATACGAAATCACTTGGTAAAAGTCACTGCACAGTCCTAGCACATGAGACATGTCAAGTGGATATGATATAAAATCATCAAAATGTCAAATCGTGGCATACCTATCGCTGAAACTGTAGCGGTAGCAATGTTGGTGCATGACTGTGACGTTGACGTGACGGTGACGGTATGGATGATGATGACCTGGCTGACGGAGCGTCGATCGACCCGATGGCGGAGAAGACATCGATGACATGGGATGATGTGACGTCAGCACTGTTGTCGTTGTGTCTCAACCCTCAGTCCCTGTTCGGGCGCCATTTTGTCGCGGGTCCTGGCCGCTGATTAATCGGACTGAGGCGTGGTTGATTAAAATCTGTTTATTCTGTAAAATACACATGAACATCAATATAATATGATGTATGGCCGAGGGGTGTATCAACTCACCTCGGCCGTGGCGTGTTTATGAAGTGGCAAATATCAAGATCGCACGAATTTTACCATTTATAAAATGGTCTTTATAGCATTTTATGAAATATTGCACTTTGAATATTATGAGCAAAATTAAAGGAAGCAGACATCACTCACACTTACTTACGTGCTGGTGCCAGTGTTTAATTAGTAATTTCGTGCAACGCGATGCCTTATTATAGAAATATTATAGATATTATAAATACTATGATATCGCGCACCTTTACGATAATACGTTTAGAGGATGACAAAGAAAGTAGACAGAAAAGGTACATACCTGTAAAATACACATGAACATCAATATAATATGATGTATGGCCGAGGGGTGTATCAACTCACCTCGGCCGTGGCGTGACATGAAGTGGCAAATATGAAGATGCCTACGTCACGGAACAGGTAATGCACGAGATGTCACGGAACAGGTAATGCACGAGATACTACTGGTATTACAACCAGAGTAAGAGTGATAGAAGAAGCGCTCGTAAATGAGCAGAGAGGAATAAATGTATGGTAAGAGATACGCAAATGTATGGGGAAATACATCCGGCGACAATACTAGGTGAATGTGGAACATACCCAATCTATATCTTGGTACTGAAACTTTCTATCTCATATTGGTTGAAACCCATCTCAGTGTGTCCTCATCGCTATCGATCAAAAGCCTATCAGATGTTGTTGTATTTGCTTGAAAATACAAGAAATAATATAACTGGGCTATGTTAATTAAAAAATACACTGTTTCAACTGGGTCGTGGATATGCATGGACTGGGAAGGGAGCTGGGGATATTAGAGCTGTTTTATCGAACAAATGTGTGACGATTGCTTTCAGCATTCTCTGTTTAAACAATATTTTATGTGTGAAAAGTATTTAACTTTTGTAAATGTAAGGAGATTGAGTGTATCAGTGTCACAGTTTCGATCTGGTTATTATGATTTAATGTGTTTTTAAAAACATTTCATGCTCCTGAGAACCAGTCCTGTAAAATGTGTGACAGTGATAATAGTGAAGATGAATATCACGTTCTTCTTCTTCTCATCTGTCCACATTATGAAGATCTAAAGAGCCATTATCCCATGTTCATCCTGGCCCAAAACTTACAAATTCTCTTTACCAATGTCAACCTTCTTCTATGCACAGTTAAAACACACACGTGCTTGTACCACTCACCCATTATAACTGTTTTTACTTGTACTACTGGCATCTGGCCTACAGTTCAGAAATAAAGAATCACTGATGTTACTTTCGTTGGTTTCAGCAACATGCAGTACACACTAATGGGGGTGATCATTGGTCTCGGCAGCATCACATCCGCCACGGAAGATGCTCCTGTTAAGGAAGCCAGTGCTTTGAAAAGATGGGTTAACAGACATGGACATAGGTGGTTTGATGAGGAGTCTGCCAAGGTGAAAGATGCTCCTTTGAACAAAGTCAGCGTTGTGAAGAGAGGAACGGATGGGATTGGACATGGGTGGTTTGATGAGGAGTCTGCGAAGATGAAAGATGCTCCTTTGAACAAAGTCAGCGTTGTGAAGAGAGGAACGGATGGGATTGGACATAGGTGGTTTGATGAGGAAGCTGCCCAGATGAAAGATGCTCCTTTGAACAAAGTCAGCGTTGTGAAGAGAGGAACGGGTGGGATTGGACATGGATTGTTTGATGAGGAGTCTGTCAAGATGAAAGATGCTCCTTTGAACAAAGTCAGCGTTGTGAAGAGAGGAACGGGTGGGATTGGACATGGATTGTCTGATGAGGAGTCTGCCAAGATGAAAGATGCTCCTTTGAACAAAGTCAGCGTTGTGAAGAGAGGAACGGATGGGATTGGACATGGATTGTTTGATGAGGAGTCTGCCAAGATGAAAGATGCTCCTTTGAACAAAGTCAGCGTTGTGAAGAGAGGGACGGGTGGGATTGGACTTGGATTGTTTGATGAGGAGTCTGTCAAGATGAAAGATGCTCCTTTGAACAAAGTCAGCGTTGTGAAGAGAGGGACAGGTGGGATTGGACATGGATTGTTTGATGAGGAGTCTGCCAAGATGAAAGATGCTCCTTTGAACAAAGTCAGCGTTGTGAAGAGAGGAACGGATGGGATTGGACATGGATTGTTTGATGAGGAGTCTGCCAAGATGAAAGATGCTCCTTTGAACAAAGTCAGCGTTGTGAAGAGAGGGACGGGTGGGATTGGACATGGATTGTTTGATGAGGAGTCTGCCAAGATGAAAGATGCTCCTTTGAACAAAGTCAGCGTTGTGAAGAGAGAGGGACAGGTGGGATTGGACATGGATTGTTTGATGAGGAGTCTGCCAAGATGAAAGATGCTCCTTTGAACAAAGTCAGCGTTGTGAAGAGAGGAACGGATGGGATTGGACATGGATTGTTTGATGAGGAGTCTGCCAAGATGAAAGATGCTCCTTTGAACAAAGTCAGCGTTGTGAAGAGAGGAACGGGTGGGATTGGACATGGATTGTTTGATGAGGAGTCTGCCAAGATGAAAGATGCTCCTTTGAACAAAGTCAGCGTTGTGAAGAGAGGAACGGGTGGGATTGGACATGGATTGTTTGATGAGGAGTCTGTCAAGATGAAAGATGCTCCTTTGAACAAAGTCAGCGTTGTGAAGAGAGGAACGGGTGGGATTGGACATGGATTGTTTGATGAGGAGTCTGTCAAGATGAAAGATGCTCCTTTGAACAAAGTCATATTTCACTGATGCTTTAACCATTTTTGTCTCTGCCCAGTAGAAATGTGGGCACGTTTTATGATATCAAACATCTCATCAATATAAGTGAAATAGCTAACTGCAGATTATGATTCTGGCTTTCTCTTTCTGATTAACTTCTCATCGTTTCCACACTGCACGATCTCATACCTCCGTAGAATGTAATACTGCCGGAACGTCTTCTTCTCAGCTCCTAGTGCAACCTTGACTGTTTCAATCAAATTAAAGTACTCTTCTTTAGTCAACAAGATTGACTTTGAATCGAACTGTCTGCCCTTGATTTCTACTCAGGAGATGTTCACGAAATGCAGAATCCAGGATGATAACAAGAATGAATGTCAAGTCTAGTAAGAAAATACTTGCATTTTATGGCATTTCTAAGGAAGCTTGTGAACTAAGGACTAATCATTTCTAGGGAAGCCTTTGCTTTAAGGAAAATTGGATTAATCTAAACTATAAACATTACTTTATTAAAAGAAGCCTCAGTGATCACAGAACGAAAACTGTGCTTTACACTTTCTAGGGAAGATTTTGCTTTAAGATAAACTGGATTAATCAAAACTATAAACATTACTTTATTAGGAAAATTTGGTTCAGATCAGGCGATTAGGAAGGCCGTCGAGTGTTGGCGTGTTAAAACGGATCCCTCTGGCGGTTAAAGTTGGAGGAGGTGAGGTCGCAGGATTTGGTGAATGTAGCGATTTGCTTTAAGATTTCCTTGAACAAGCACTATCTCTGATCTACCCGTGGTGGACATGGCTCCCCACACCATGACGCTTATTCCACCAAATATCTCCATCTGTCGAACGCAAGTCGTCTCAAAACTTTCGTGTTGACGTCGATAGACACGTTGTTGCTGCGATTCATCGCTGAACAAACGCGTTCCATGCGTTCCCCAAGTTCCATGCCTGTACCCTGTCGCATCATTGGACACGTCGTTGTCGATGTAGCCGTGTCAGGACAGGTCCAACTTTTGGTCGAGAATTCCAACTTCTCTCAGACGATTTCTGATGGTTTGGTCGGAAATTCTTCGAAGATCAGGCACCTGTCCAGCATTGTCTGTTGCTCTAACAAATCGGTGACGTAGGTGAAACACCTGGATGAATCGGTCCTGAGCAGGAGTGGTCACTCTTGGTCTTCCAGTTTTAAGATATCTCTACTTATGTGTCCGACACATTGCACGTGCATTACGTGGACATGATTAACGGGATTCAAACATAGGAATTGTCTGAATGACTATTACTGTCAAAATATATGGAAATGAACTGCTGAAAACGCTTATGCGTTTCCTTATTTTGGAAGAGTGGATGAGTCATGTTAATAGAATATGTGTTATGATCGCGATCTAATATTTGTATTGTATACATCGACAATTTTACATATTGGAAGAATTCTGGTGGTTGTTTTAGCTTGTTAAAACAGTATTGTGACGTGACGATATTATTGTTGCAAGTCATTCTGATCCAGAAATTTATGTACAGTTTTGAACGTGAATTTTAATATCAAAACTCGTGCAAATAGGTCATTATGTCTAATTATAGAGAAATTCTATTCAGACAATAGCAGTCGGAGAAATCAGTCTGTTGGTTCCGGAAGTAGAGTGTGACCCGTTAGAGACTGACTAAAAATTGGACAGATCTGCATCGATATTTAGGCTTAACTAAAACATAAAACAACAGTTCTAGTTGATACGTTTGATGCAAAATACAGACATCACTGCTCAATATAGTTCTGTCCTCTTCAAGTGGATTGTATCCGAGACAATTAAACTCGAACGTTTGGCTGTTACCGTTTCTCACCGAAGAGACCCGTGAAGATCCGGGGAAGAATAGGTCTTCAGCAACCCATTCTTGACATACAAGGCGACTGCTTGTCGTCAAAGGCGACTAACGGGATCGGGTGGTCAGGCTCGCTGACTTGGTTGACACATGTCATCGGTTTCCAATTGCGCAGATCGATGCTAATGCTGTTGATCACTGGATTGTCTGGTCCAGACTCGATTATTTACAGACCGCCGCCATATAGCTGGAATATTGTTGAGGGCGGCGTAAAACTAAACTCACTCACTCACTCACTCACTATTACCGAAGATAAAGTAGCACGGATCACTGTAGTGTTTTGGTCCTAGGTGAGTTTAAAGTAAAAGAAAACTGATACACAACCGCTAAAAACAGAAGTGGCGCTGTGTTTGCACAACAAGCTGTTTTTGCTTCACTGAATGAAAGAGTGCAGCTTCTTGCTTGCAGCAGGATTCGGGTCTACGCCACGTGCATGTTACAGCCCACTGTGAAGCCAACGATCCTATATGACAAACACAGCTTAAAAAGCCTTCTGTTGTTCTCATAGTTTTCAACGATTTGTTTATTGATTCTTGGTTGATATAAATTCATGCACTTCTCACTGTGAGTTAGAAAGTGAATTTAGTTTTAGGCCGCTTTTAGCAATATTCAAGCATTATCACGACGGAGGACACACATTGTACCCATGTGGGGACTCGAACGCGGGTGTTCAGCGTGACAAGCGAACGCTTTAACTACTAGGCTACCCAACCGAGTGAATGAGTGAGTATTGTTCAACGCTGCATCAGCAGTTTTGCAGGTATTTGCGAATATCTCCGTCAAATTGTGACAACAAGCCAGGACTTATTTGTCTGATTGTGTGCTCGATTGGAATCGCAGGATGCACATAGTCATAGAAATACTCCCTCGAACGAGAAACATTCTGTGGTAAGTTCCAGATAGGAGAGATGTAATAAGAAAACGTTGATAAAGACCCACCAAAATGTTAAATTTATTTGTCGTTTATTTGTCGTTTAACGCCTCACTCAGCAATAGGGGTGGGTATTGCAGAGAATGTTCATATTGCGATATATTGCGATGCGAAAGCATATATTGCGATATGTATTGCAATATAGTGCATGAAGTATTTATTTTTAAACAAAAAACTACTTATAATCGAGGTAATGCTTGATTTTTAGAGCAAATAATTTATACAGCAAAATCACTATGCTTGATTAAGCTTTAATAACAACTTTTATTCATGATTAAAAATAAAAATGTAAATAATATTTGGCACAAATGAAAAAAGGAAATATCCGAAGATTTCCGAGTGTTACGAAGTTTTCCGAATGCAAGTCAAAATACCGGTTTTCGATCAGCGTATCGCAATACGTATCGTTTTCATGTCTGAACCGGTAAAAACCGGTAAACCGGTTATATTGCGCAGCCCTACTCAGCAATATTACAGCTATATAAGGCAGCGGTCTGTAAATAATCGAGTCTGGACTAGATAATCTAGTGATCAACATCATGAACATCTATCTACGCAACTGGGAACCGATGACATGTGTCGACCAAGTCAGCGAGCCTGACCACCTGATCCCGTTAGTCGCCTCTTACAACAAGCATGGGTTACTGAACGCACATTCTAACCCGGACCTTCACGGGTCTTTCACACATGAATTGTCCGGATGTGGCTATCATCACCAGGCGTTGCCACACGTGGTGTGCCACTGCTAGGCCTGTATGACGTATTGAGTGTTTCTCTTTATCGTTGCATCAGTCTGATGACAGTTGCTCAGGTGCAGCCGAAGGCTCTGGTTTAAACATATTTTATTCCATTCAGAAAGAAAGAAAAGGATTGGCAAATAAGCCTAAATGGCTTATATTAAAGTCGGACTCACTCTCTACCGGGATCGACTGTCTATCGGGGAAATGGTAAATGACCATGGTCAACTTCCGGTTGAGGATAGATAGGGCTTACCCCCTGTGTGAGAGGATCGTACTGAGGCGTAGCTACTGCAAGAGAATTTGAGGATTGTATAATAGGTATAAGAATTGGTTGCTGAGATGTTCGAGGACGACTTTGGGGACTGCTTTGGATTTAGTCTCGTCCGTCTGCTAACATCGACGTTTCAAGACAAACCGCTCACGAGGCCTCGTCTACAATGACTGTCAGTGTCAACAATCTTCAATAAGTACATCGACAAGACTCAAGACTCCGTCAGCTATAGACATTCAGTTAATATTTTAGATTTGTGACCCGACAGTATTGTATCAGGAGCGGTGGGGTAGCCCAGTGGTTAAAGCGTTCGCTCATCACGCCGAAGGCCCGGGTTCGATTCCCCACATGGGTACAATTTGTGAAGCCCATTTCTGGTGTCCCCCGCCGTGATATTGCTGGAATATTGCTTAAAACGGCGTAAAACCAAACTCAGTCAGTCAGTATTGTACGAGAAATCTGTACTATCATTCATTGTAACCTTGCTTATTGTTTATTCAATATATTATTGAATATTTTAGACTGTCTAATTTTGCGGGTTTAAAGCGGACTCACAAACCTTTCGTCACGGCAATTCTAAACCGAAACAATCTGTTAAGGACAACATATTGCGCTGTGTGAGCTCAGCTCACCTAAAATCAGGTTGACGACACTCATAATGGGTACATGTCATACGATCTACAGGTAACAGTTATCAGTTGGAGCGTCTGTCTAACCAACTCGAATCTGTTAGAATTAGCGAGGCAAAAGCATTGAATTAATGTTTTAGATAAGGTGGGGTGAAATGGGGTTTAACGTCGCACTTAGAATATTTAGCTCATATGTCGACTTGCATGCGTCTGTATGTGTGGCTGCATGTACTAGCCGAGACTTATAGCTCACTGAGATACCATGCCGCAGTTAAGCATGAATACCCCACTCACACACATTACACTGATTCCGAGCCGACCAGTCTTTGTTGTACACATTAATGCCGAGCGCCAAGCAGGGATCAACAAGTATCATATTTTAACGTCTTTTGGTATGACGCGGCCGGGGATCGAACCCGCGACCATCCGCTCTCCGGACGGACGCTCTTACCACTACACTACGGAGGCAATTAATGTTTTAGCCCGTGGTCAGTTTGAAGTAAAGAAACGCCGATAAGCAAGCTCCAGGGACAAATGTGTAGCAGTGTTCGCTGAACAGTTTGTTTTTTGCTTCAGTGAATAAGAGTGAGTGAGTTTATTTTTACGCCGCACTCCGCAATATTCCAGCTATATGGTTGGACCAGACAATCCAGTGATCAACAGCATGAGCATCGACCTGCGCAATTGGGAACCGATGACATGTGGCAACCAAGTGAGCGAGCCTGACCACCCGATCGCGTTAGTCGCCTCTTACGACAAGCATAGTCGCCTTTTGTGTCAAGTATGGGTTGCTGAAGACCTATTTTACCCCGGATCTTCACGGGTATCAATGAATAAGAGTGTGGCAGCAGCTGCACTGGGAAAGATGATTTAGGTTGTCAAGATTGAATTCTACGCACGTCACGAGCACGGTGCCGCCCATTGTGAAACAAACATTCCAATTTGACTGTACAGAGAATATGGAAAACGCCGCAAACAAAACCCTGTGTTAATCCCGAGCGTTGACTGCAATTCAGTTTATAACAGATGCATTTTGTACGGTACCTTTCAGATACGTGATTGAAAACAGCAAGAGTTCCATGCGTTTAGTATAGATCCTCTGCCATGTGACGATTCATCACATCCAACACCATTCAAGTATATTCAAAACACATGCATATGCTCTTCATATGTTTCATGTTTGAGTGTAGATACACATCCGTGAAGAATGGCTTACTCTCACTGTGCCTAGATTATCTAAAATTGCCAATACCTGAAGGATCGTGTAAATCCAGTTAGGGTCTATGCAGGAAGCATATATACCGTAAGTCCCCATGGTCCTTAGTATGGTGATCTACCTTCAGTTGTTGGCAGTCTATAGCCTGTTTAAATTGTATCGTCTTGTATAGATGTTTTAAATTTAATTGCTAGTTTTTAAATTTCCATCTGTGATAAACTATATAGTTGTTTTACTGTCCCTCGGTGACAGATTTTTATAATTTACCTATAATTATTATAAATATATAACTTGATATAGTCACAATATGGCTGACATACTGTCGATGTGCCTTGAATTGTTAACTCACTCACTACTTTCACTGTGCAAACTATCCTTAAACGTGACTCATTATTTGCATTGGAGTGTTTTATTTAAGGCTCCAGTACACTCATCCAAGCCCAACATATTAAGTCATGACTTTGAATCGTGTATTTTAGGGGGAATCATTTGTGGTCTTGTTTTTTATGGGTGAATGGTGCTTAGAGAGAACATCCAGTTGGGACAATAAAGAAAGCCCACTTTAGTTCGCACAATCTTTGATTATTCATGTTTCAATGTTATAGTATGAAGTATAATTTCTGCGGACTTAGATAACGACAGACTTTGTGGATGAACAACTTCTTTATTCAGGTGATGCGACGTTTCGATAGAGATTCCTGTATCGTTGTCAAGCAGGTATGAATCAGGTAGAAAACAGGGTTTCATATATTGTATATAATTAGTAAAAACAACAAGAAGATACTGACTGACTGATTGACTGAGTTTGGTTTTATGCCGCTTTGAGCAATATTCCAGCAACATCACGGCGGGGGACACCAGAAATGGGCTTCACACATTGTACCCATGTGGGGATTCGAACCCGGGTCTTTGGCGTGACGAGCCAACGCTTTGACCACTAGGCTACCCCACTGCCCCTCAACAAGAAGATAACTAAGAAGTGCAGTAACAATGTTGTGGTAAGGGATTGCCTCTAGAAGCCAGTGGGGTGTAGCCAGAAGGGGAAGTTAAACAAGTAGTTAGGGTTCATTGATGAGTTCATCTCATATATAGGGGATTAAATAACCTTGAACTCTGTTGATCAGGGGTCGGGGTCGTTTCATGTGGGTTCATGTACAGGGACATTCTGAATCAGCGTCCGATTCATCAAGTCCTGAATCAGCGTCCAGAGTCATCAAGTCCGTCCGGCAAGAGGACCCAACCCCTCTTCGAGAGACTTGCTTCTTGGCGCAGGATCATCATCCATCTGGGCAATGGCGTCCTGGCCAACCGATCTACCATTTTGGGAGACTGCTCGGTCGGTGACACCAACGACAAAGACGATCAGAATGAGAATCAGGCATCCCATTATGCTGAAATATATATATATATATATATATATATATATATATATATATATATATATATCTATATATATATATATATATATATATATAAAGTGACGTCATAACATAATCCGTTTAACTGTAATCACTTCTCCCTGAAGATAAAAGTGAAACATGTTGGAGAAGATCCGTGTCGTGTGATTTTTTCAGAAACTTCTTCTTATATATATAGCTTAGTGACGTCATAGCTTAGCAACGCCGTTATAAACATAGAATAGCAACGTCATTCTCATGATGATCACATTGACAGTGTGAAACCGGTTAGAATTGAAGAAATTATATCTGTACCAAGGATCTTCAGACTTTTGTCTTTTGTGTGTGTGTGTGTCTGTATTTGTTTACAATATTTTAATTCTATTAATGTTCCCATTTTACATGTTACATGACATAACAAAATGGAAATAGGGTAAAAAGCAGGACCAAAAGGCCTATATCACTGATGAAATATCCTCGGTGTTTTGTCCATCTAGCATTTACTGATGTGTAATACAATGAAATTCATAAAAGAAGCTCAACCAATTCGACAATCAAATGATGAAAGTAGGGTCCCCTGCAGTTAATGTCTTTAGGAATCACAGTTGATTACTAATTACGTTAACTGTATTATTTACAAAAACGGGGAAGACTTGTGTAATATTAAGCCAAAATATTTTACAAAACAAACTATACTCTTCAAAAAAAAAAGAAACTATACATGCTGTTTTGGAGTTTACTTACTGAGTGCATATAACTGATTCAAACATGACATCATTGCTCAATTACAGTAAAATCATCACTTTACAAATTTCCGAAACATGATTATCCAGAAAGTGTTTTGTAAAACCGCAGAGGGCTATTGTATCCGACACAATTAAGAGTAAAATGTCAGTATCTGGTGTGACCACCATGAGCATCGATAACAGCTTGGCAGCGGTGACCCACAGAAGAAAGGAGATGCCGAATGCTGTCTTGAGGAATGTTTTGATACTCTTGCTGAAGAGCTGTATGCAGTTCTTGTAGTGTCTGAGGTGGCGGATTACGCTGGCGCAAGCATCGATCAAGAGTACCCCATAGAATTTCAATGGGGAACAAGTCGGGTGATCGAGTGAGTGAGTTATTATTTAACGTCACATCGGCAATATTTCAGCCATATCGTGACGAGAACACATGGGACATTGAAATGGATCGGGTGATCGAAAAGACCAAGGTAACACCAGAACATTGTTTTGCTGGAGGACGTCCTGTCAAACACGTGCAACGTGAGGTGGAGCATTGCTATGCTCCAAAGATCAACCGTTGACGTTGATGAAGGGAACGACGTGACGTTGAACTGGTCTTCGGGCAAAAAGTCTGGCTTCCCATAGCCAATTGTGCACTGTCTGATCGGAGATTCGGCGCAGTACAGGGATTTGGATTGTTGTGGATGATGCGGCCGGGGTGTTTGAACGAAGATGTCTCAACCAGATGTAACGATCCTGGGCGGCTGTGGTAACTCTAGGTCGACTTGACCTGGGTCTGTCATTAACAGTCCCAGTATTTTTTTATCGGGTCCATAGGTTTGCAATGGTCTGTCTGGACACGCTGAAGTACCTTGCCACCTCATGCTGCGATGCCCGTCCTTGTAAACGGCCGATGGCGTTGTGTCGTTGAGCTTCTGTCAGTCTTTTCATTCTCTTGTCGTCTATAGTGGTTTAAAGCAATGCATGTGGAGTACCACTGACACAGTCATAGGCTTCAGCTGAGGGTAATACACAATTTCATGATGCACGTGCATTTCATGTAGGGTGCGTTTTAACGATTCACTACAGACGTGGGTGTAACGTTAGGTTTTTGTTCAACGTCTTTTTTCAAACGTGTTGTCGTCGGCAACCATTCCCCCACATGTTGGGATTCAGCATGGATTGGTTTATGTCAAATATTTTCCTAACATTCAAATTTTTCCTATGTATAGTTTCTTTTTTTGAAGAGTATAACAAACAAAACCTTTTCCAGAACCACAATGAGACCTCAGTGAATATAGATGTTTACAACAGGCAGACATAGCCTTACCTTGTTTGCTGTATGCAGCCTTTGGAATAGATGGAGAGCACCGAGTAGTATTTGTACACCCTGGAACACATAATTATTTATGCAGCTGAGAGATTAAAATCATTTATATTCAGATTTTTAATCTGAAACCATTCACCTAAAACCTATTGTACCAATCCAGGTAAAGCTAAATTTCTTTTGATAAATAGGCATGTTTTTCAAGGCATATCAACCGTGCATGCTCTTAACTAACTAATTTATTTATCAACGGAGTACTGTTAATGTTGACTATCAAAATATACCGCATGTCATTGTTGAACAGGGATATTTTTCATGGCTCAAATATGAATCATGCACTCTCTTAATAAAGGATCATTTATCAACGAAACACGGCGAATGTTAACAAACAACGACAAGGGGTCGAACACTGGATTATACAGACAAACGTATTCTGTGTATGATCAACATGTATTTACCCAGTAGCTTTTACCCATCACAAACCTCTGCATATCGGCTTCATTTTAGAAAATACATGTGATCCTTTGTCATTCCCACGCGGACAATCAAATAAAGAGATAGCGTCAGTGGTTTTAGAGCTCCATCTGTGTGGGACTTCGTGCGAATACCCCGTGGGAAACAGAGTTCTGTTCCTTTCTGAAACCTGTTTCCCATCTCGAGTTGCATCATATCTCATTCCTAAGTAATCAATGTATGTTAAATACAACAATCCAGGTTTTTGTCCACCTGTCTCTCCACAACACCGGAGAGGAGCATCTTTCATCTTGGCAGCCTCCTCATCAAACAATCCATGTCCAATCCCACCCGTCCCTCTCTTCACAACGCTGACTTCTGTTCAAAGGAGCATCTTTCATCTTGGCAGACTCTTCATCAAACAATCCATGTCCAATCCCACCCGTCCCTCTCTCCACAACACTGACTTCGTTCAAAGGAGCATCTTTCATCTTGGCAGCCTCCTCATCAAACCACCCATGTCCAATCCCACCCGTCCCTCTCTCCACAACGCTGACTTTGTTCAAAGGAGCATCTTTCATCTTGACAGACTCCTCATCAAACCACCCATGTCCAATCCCACCCGTCCCTCTCTCCACAACACTGACTTCGTTCAAAGGAGCATCTTTCATCTTGGCAGCCTCCTCATCAAACAACCCATGTCCAATCCCACCCGTCCCTCTCTTCACAACACTGACTTCGTTCAAAGGAGCATCTTTCATCTTGGCAGCCTCTTCATCAAACAATCCATGTCCAATCCCACCCGTCCCTCTCCACAACACTGACTTCTGTTCAAAGGAGCATCTTTCATCTTGGCAGACTCCTCATCAAACAATCCATGTCCAATCCCACCCGTCCCTCTCTCCACAACACTGACTTCTGTTCAAAGGAGCATCTTTCATCTTGGCAGCCTCTTCATCAAACCACCCATGTCCAATCCCACCCGTCCCTCTCTTCACAACACTGACTTCGTTCAAAGGAACATCTTTCATCTTGGCAGCCTCTTCATCAAACAATCCATGTCCAATCCCACCCGTCCCTCTCTCCACAACACTGACTTCTGTTCAAAGGAGCATCTTTCAATCCCACCCGTCCCTCTCTCCACAACACTGGTTCAGGAGCATCTTTCATCTTGGCAGCCTCCTCATCAAACAATCCATGTCCAATCCCACCCGTCCCTCTCTCCACAACACTGACTTCGTTCAAAGGAGCATCTTTCATCTTGGCAGCCTCCTCATCAAACAATCCATGTCCAATCCCACCCGTCCCTCTCTCCACAACACTGACTTCGTTCAAAGGAGCATCTTTCATCTTGGCAGCCTCCTCATCAAACCACCCATGTCCAATCCCACCCGTCCCTCTCTCCACAACACTGACTTCGTTCAAAGGAGCATCTTTCATCTTGGCAGCCTCCTCATCAAACAATCCATGTCCAATCCCACCCGTCCCTCTCTTCACAACACTGACTTCGTTCAAAGGAGCATCTTTCATCTTGGCAGCCTCCTCATCAAACCACCCATGTCCAATCCCACCCGTCCCTCTCTTCACAACACTGACTTCGTTCAAAGGAGCATCTTTCATCTTGGCCTCCTCCTCATCAAACCACCCATGTCCAATCCCACCCGTCCCTCTCTTCACAACGCTGACTTCGTTCAAAGGAGCATCTTTCATCTTGGCAGCCTCCTCATCAAACCACCCATGTCCAATCCTACCCGTCCCTCTCTTCACAACACTGACTTCGTTCAAAGGAGCATCTTTCATCTTGGCAGCCTGTGTACTGCATGTTGCTGAAACCAACGAAGGTCACATAAGTGATTCTTTATTTCTGAACTGTTGCCCGGAGGCCCGTAGTACAAGTGAAAACAGTTATAATGGGTGAGTGGTACAAGCACGTGTCTGTTTTAACTGTGCATGCTGTATAAACGTAGCAACACTTTGAAGAAGCTGGACATTTTTGGTTGACATTAGTATACAGACTTTGTAAATGTGGGCCAGAACGTATACTTAGATGAAAAAAATTGGCAAATTAGATCTTTAAACTGTAGACAGATGAGACGAACGTGTTGTTTCATCGTCATTCTAGAAAGTGGTGAGGCAAAAATGAAACATGCAACTTTATGGATGACAACTTCTTGTTTATTGCATAGTGCGACGTTTCCCCTCCCATCAAATCAAGTTTGACAAATTAGGAATCCTATCCACCAAGGATACTACACACCATAGGCTTATGAAGAATTAATCAAACTATAGACTCTATCGAAGCACCTTATCAGCTTGTTGCTGCTAATTAATCCCCCGTGTTTATTGGCTTCATCACCAGTCACATTTATTGTTCTTAGTCCCCATATGGCCTTTCCCAATTATGTACCAGTTGTCATTCAGTTAAAAGCTGTTGTTAATCCGCTGTTTATAAAAGTGCTATGTGTATATCCCCCTCATCATGTGTTGGTAGTCACTTCTAGCTTGATATGGGTGTAAGAATCTACATCTAAACGTCGCTCTATGCAGTAAACAAAAACTTGTCATCCATAAAGATGTATGTTTCATTTTAAGAAGAACGTGATATTCATCTTCACTATTATCACTGTCACACATTGTAGAGGATGGTTCTCAGTAGCTTGACATCATAATAACCACAACGAAACAGTGACAACTTTTAATAACCTTTACACGTAAAATGTTGTTTACACAAAGAATACGAATATGAACATTTTCCAGTTTGTATATTCCCAGTCCATTCTTGGAATCCTTATATCTTGTGACGACTGCAACAGGTAGGACAGACAATGCCACGTGTTGATGTTGTCATCGACAGAACTCACAATTTGCAGGCGTATCGTATCATTCTGGAACGGATTTCACAAAAACAGAGCTACATTCAGGCTCAGTACATTCATGATGTTTTTATAATAGTGGCTACTGTAGTACATCAGTTCGGCATATATTCAGTAGAAGTCCATATCATTGTGTATGCTACTGTAGTACATCAGTTCGGCATGTATTCAGTAGAAGTCCATATCATTGTGTATGCTACTGTAGTACATCAGTTCGGCATGTATTCAGTAGAAGTCCATATCATTGTGTATGCTACTGTAGTACATCAGTTCGGCATGTATTCAGTAGAAGTCCATATCATTGTGTATGCTACTGTAGTACATCAGTTCGGCATATATTCAGTAGAAGTCCAATCATTGTCCTGTAGTACATCAGTTCGGCATGTATTCAGTAGAAGTCCATATCACTGTGTAGTACATCAGTTCGGCATATATTCAGTAGAAGTCCATATCATTGTGTATGCTACTGTAGTACATCAGTTCGGCATGTATTCAGTAGAAGTCCACATCATTGTGTACGCTACTGTAGTACATCAGTTCGGCATATATTCATAGAAGTCCATATCATTGTGTATATGCTACTGTAGTACATCAGTTCGGCATATATGCAGTAGAAGTCCATATCATTGTGTTTTGACTGTAAACAGCTATTGGCAACAATGGTTTTCCAATGCTAGCATGAATGGGGAAGTAATTGTATCTAGATGGAGTAAAGTGTAATTTAGAATAATATACAGACTAATAGATTAATTCATAATGCTAAGGGGAGGTGCGGTAGCCTAATGTTTGAAGCGTCCGCTTGTCATGCTGTAGACCCGGGTTCGATTCCCCACATGGGTACAGTGCGTGAAGTCCACTTCTGATGTCCCCCGCCGTGATATTGCAGGAATATTGCTAAAAGCGGCGTAAAACCATACTCACTCGCTCATAATGATATGGCGCTTCTATATACTATATTATTTGACTATACAAGTGCGCAAATACAAATCACAATTTCTAGATGCATTGGAGTCAATTACATGTCTCTAACACATACCTTCACAATTTCACCCTACATATCTTCCTTAGATCCAGTTTGGAAGCCTGATCACCGTGGACGCCTGGCGAATACGATAATCACTGACTTTACTGACGTTACAACTGCTATATTAGTGAGACTGGTCCTAGTTAGTATACAACACTGATGTTGTTATGTGCTGGTAATGTTGATATAGAGTGAATGGTTTTATTTTTTTACAGTTTCACTTCGAAGTGGGATCAAAGACCTTTGATGATGATCTTTGATGATGATACTGAGATCCACTCCGTGTCAAATCCAGTTATAGGTGATATAAAGAGAAAAGTGAATAGTCATTATTTGGTTGCCAACAAAGGGCTTCCATCAAAAACACCAGTTTTTGATGATCGTATGCATAATGATCTTACGCATTAATGACGAAATCGTGAATATTTAGAATAGATAATAGCAATGTGCTAACATTGATAAGATAAGGAGTATGAATATTGATCACGTACATTGTAATTAATGTGACAATGACATTCACATGGTTCAAGAAGCATTGCGCTTTAATGTGACATATTAGACACACTTGAAAGATATTCTGCAAAGGCTGTCGGTCAGCAAATGAAAAATGATTAAGGGAGTCATTTATGTCGTACACTGTGCGAATTTTAGGAATAGGTTTCAACAAAGAATTGTGAACAAAATTAGGGAAAAGCTCCAGTTAACGTAACATAATCAGGGATATTTCTACCTTTCACGAAATTGGAGTATTTGATCCATCTGCAGGAATGAGACTGTCGGTCAGCAAATGAAAGGTGATCACGGTACACGTCTATCTCGCATAATATATATTTGCAAATGTAAAGAATATGTTTTGACAAAGAATTGTGAACATGGAAAAGCTCCAGTTAGGGTAAAGTAAGCTGGGACCCTTCTTCCTTTCAGCACAATCTTGTATCTGACTTCCGCAGGTATCACTTGTTTTTTGCTTAACCGAACGTGCCTCTGGAAAGCCGGTTTTGAACCTGGATGTCAGTATGTTTGTGTGTTTGGAGATTCTAAGCTACACATGTGTCATACTATGGGATGAATAGAGAATCTCACCCAAGTGTCTACTGATATCAACACGAGTGGATAAAGTTACAAATATCCGGGGCCTGCAGAGGAGATTTTTACTTTTATCATTATTAGGGCTCCTTGCCTCTAGGCAGGAGACCTATTGTAATCGTTCGGATTATTATTATTATTATTATTTATTATTCCGCCGATTTTTGTACCAAACATAACTCCTAAACCAATGCTCCGAATCGCTTACAAAAAAACCACACAGATGCACACCGAGGTGTAAATATTCCCCTTAAAAATCTCTAGGCTCTTGGCCAAATAGCAAAGGGGAAATAATTCAAAATTAATTCCAAAATTTCAACGTTTGACAGCAAGTATCTCAAGAACTAATTGTTCCAACACTTCCAAATTTCTTGTACAGATGCCCAATCGAATTCCCAACAATTTTGTCTGGACGGGTCAAGTCGCTAAAACGTACCGTTTGGCAGTTATTTTTGTTTTCAGTTTTTGGCCATGTTTTTCAGCACTTTTCTGAGTAGTTTGCTCCCAAAATGTGCAAATTCTGCACAAAAAGTATGGTAGATGATGTCCTGGTGATTCCAGAACACTAATTGTTTTGAACGTAGACCAAAGAACAACTGAGATACAGCCTTTTAAAGAGGGAACTATTTCTTCTCCGGAACTTCTTAAAAGTTACATGACCCCCGGCTGTATTTGGACGATCCGCTCGCCTGTCAAAACACGTGTTCTGGCTCCGTTTTGGACGATGATATCTAGCTCTCAGGTACAATAGATAGAAAGTCAAGCCAAGGAGACCTCATCGTTGCCTGCAACTATATTTTTTCATTAGTTTCAATGAAAAATATACATCTCTGAACACGGTACTGCCATTAGACTTGCAGAGCAGCGACGTCACAGCATTGTGACGTCATCAAGTTATGACATCATATCAGGGCATTGTACAAAATCTACTGTCAAAACGATATCTCCTAGGAGATATCGTTCGATCTCAGACAATTAGTATCTCCCGGGAAACACAATTTTCGGTGATAATTACAATTCTTAAAACACACAGGCGTAATCACCTATTGATATTCTAATGTTATTTTTGAGTTCGATCTTCGAACAAGTATTCTCTAAATATATTATGTCCCAAGGTCAGCGAGTAGTTTACAATTTTAAACTTGTGCTACAGAGGACACTGCCAAATGAACAAGATGACCACAACCTACACCACAAGTGTTTTCATGGCTGCTGGAGTAATGGCCTTTTGTCAAACGGAAGTTACTTTAGTCAATAAAACGTCACGTTAGAACATGCAGTCAGAGGAGTCCCATACAGGAAAACAAAGAAAGGTAACACTCCTAAATATTATTTTTCACGTTCATTGCATACATCAATGCAATACTAAATGACCAGTTCAGCCATTCCGAATGCAGGAAATAAAACGAAAATTTAATTATATATATATGCATGAAAATAATTTACCAAAACATTTGTTGTATTGAACGACTTCAACATGTTCACCCTTCAAAACACATAGTTTATTTTGTAATAAAGTATAGCGTTACTCCAAATAATGTTTACTGCTAATCCCAACGGATAGCCACACGCTCTTTCTGTCACCTGTATCTTTCTAGTCAGGTATTGTTCAAATATATAATGAAATCATTGAATAACAACATATGGTCGGCAAGTAGAAGCACATTTCATCAATATCACAAAGTATACCTTACTATGACTGATATTATTCTTGATAACTTTCACCAGTCCAGCTGTGTACATAAAATAAACGGTTGGTATAAAAACACCATAATCAGATCAAAGTGTTGTATCATCATTCTTTATCATCATTCTTT